GAGATCCCCCATCAAGCCCCACCGTGCAGGGGGTGCAGCCTCAGGTCCCTCACCCCGGCCCAGCGCCACACAGCCTCAGGTCCCTGCTGATCGCTTGTTATGGGAACCCCGCCTCCGCTGTGGGCACGGCCATCTTGTGATGGCATGATGGAGTGAGGGTCAATTTGCATATTACCTCTTTATTATATAGGATTTTTGCTAATTGTTACAAAGATGTCCTTTGTTGTGATTTTGTTATTCAAACACAAGATCATGCATTTCTTTTAAGCTATGTAAATTTTGTTGCTTTGCAACACGTCACTTCTGTTCAGAAATAGAGGATATCCTTTTGACTCATCTCCTGCAAGTTTTATTGAAGAAGAAAAAAGATATTTGGGATTTCAAGGTGGCTTCTTTCTAGAAAACCAAATTTACTGTGTAAGAGGACCATTTTTATTTTTTATTCTGAAAACTTTGGCTGAGTTTTGGTGTCTTGACTCAGCAAAGTCTGTCGTTCAGCAAGGCTTGGTAAGCATGAAAGTGGGTACTGAAGCTTTCCTTTATTTCATAATCCCAATTGTTTTTCTAGAAACCATCAATAGTTTCTAAATGACTGACTCAATTTTTGGATCCTATTCTCATGACCAAGCAAATGTTTGACTTGAAACCATCCCAGTATAAATGTCTCTGTGCCTCTAACTCTGAATCTATTCCTGGATTTCAGCACTGGAGAAACCCATCAAAAATGTCTAAAACTGGAACAAAGGTAAATAAATGGTCATGCTGATTTTTAGCCTAACTACTTTCTTTTTACCTAATGATACATTGAAAAAAACATGTAGAAAAGCTTTAGCTACTTTCCCTGCTGGTGAGTATGATAGTGTTTAGAAGGTTAGGATAGGGAGAGAAGATTAAGACATGCTTATTATATTCTCTAACAGAATTATCAAACAGTTTGTTAAGGGGTTATCAGTATGTGTGGTGCTATGTTGAATACTGTACAAGTATATAACATGTAAATACCATGATTTCTGTCTTCCAGAAACTAATATTCCATGCACTTCCACAGGAATAGGAATGCTGATCAGAGGATTATGTGAAGTAGAAAGCTTTTGGTATTCAATGAAAATTTTGTTTTATGAAATTTAACCTCAACCATTAATATTTTAAAAGGCCAAGGTGGATGGAACAATCAAGAGAATTAAATCCTACATATCCTCTTCATTCAAGCAGTTACTCTAACCCTTTGCCCCAAATAAAGTGCTTATTAAGTTAAGAAAATTACCTTCAGATATTTGATTTACGGTTGTTGAACTGGCTATTTGATCCTGAGGCAGGGCTTTGGGAATGAGGGAATGGTACCTTCATTCTCTTTTTAGCTATTCCACTGACCAGGGACTGAAGCAAAGCCATTAGTTCCTGATTCCCCCCATCCCCCACCCCCCACCCCAACTTTTTACTTTGAAAACTTTCAAACCCATTGCATCATTTTAGAGAGCACCTATTAATATGTTCTAGAACTGGTTAGTGCCTGATTATTTTCCTTTTAGAAAATAGAACTAATAATCATACTTGTTATTCAGAAGGAGAAAAATGAGACAGTGTCTTTAGTGCTCTGAATTTCTTGATAATATGCCAAGCACATCCCACTGAGAATGTGCAGTCCTAGAGAGATATCCATGTACCTCAAGGGAAAGCTGTTATAAAATCACCTTAGATGAAAACATCCCTGCTTTCAGAGATTTCCGAAGTAGTAATGGTGTGCTCTCTCGTTTCTTGTGGCTGGACTTTTGCTTAAGTTAAATAACTTTTGTTTGCTAGACCAAAGAAGACTGCATCTCTTTCTCTTACTCTCCCTTTCCCACTGTCTTGCTAGCAGTTTAATCAGAGGAGTTAAGGGCTTGTCAGAAAGAACATATTGTGTTTGTTTTTGTTGCCTCTGGAATACTTGAGACACTTTTCTTTCTGCCACATTGGATTAGTAGGCTATTTTTCAAAAAGTCAACTTGAAAACAAGAGGAATTTTGAAATTTTAGGCAAATCTTCTGCACATTTCTTAGCCTTTTCTGCAGATTCCTCTCCCACCCCCAAAAGTTAAAACCTTCTCTTAGCTGACCATAGAGTAGACTTCATAGACCTACAAATGGAAAGTGAGTAGATTTGCAACATTCTCTGGGCCCTGAGAGTTAGAAGGTCTCCCTGAAAGGTGAGCTTGGTCCTGGAGCTCAGTAATAGTTCCACGGCAAACTTTCAAACCCATTGCATCATTTTAGAGAGCACCTATTAATATGTTCTAGAACTGGTTAGTGCCTGATTATTTTCCTTTTAGAAAATAGAACTAATAATCATACTTGTTATTCAGAAGGAGAAAAATGAGACAGTGTCTTTAGTGCTCTGAATTTCTTGATAATATGCCAAGCACATCCCACTGAGAATGTGCAGTCCTAGAGAGATATCCATGTACCTCAAGGGAAAGCTGTTATAAAATCACCTTAGATGAAAACATCCCTGCTTTCAGAGATTTCCGAAGTAGTAATGGTGTGCTCTCTCGTTTCTTGTGGCTGGACTTTTGCTTAAGTTAAATAACTTTTGTTTGCTAGACCAAAGAAGACTGCATCTCTTTCTCTTACTCTCCCTTTCCCACTGTCTTGCTAGCAGTTTAATCAGAGGAGTTAAGGGCTTGTCAGAAAGAACATATTGTGTTTGTTTTTGTTGCCTCTGGAATACTTGAGACACTTTTCTTTCTGCCACATTGGATTAGTAGGCTATTTTTCAAAAAGTCAACTTGAAAACAAGAGGAATTTTGAAATTTTAGGCAAATCTTCTGCACATTTCTTAGCCTTTTCTGCAGATTCCTCTCCCACCCCCAAAAGTTAAAACCTTCTCTTAGCTGACCATAGAGTAGACTTCATAGACCTACAAATGGAAAGTGAGTAGATTTGCAACATTCTCTGGGCCCTGAGAGTTAGAAGGTCTCCCTGAAAGGTGAGCTTGGTCCTGGAGCTCAGTAATAGTTCCACGGCAACATTAGTGCTTTGTTTCACTCTTAGGATGGTTAGCTGCTCTGCTGGGAGGTTGGACAGCAAGGTGAACTTGTAGAATATCGTGTATATTTCATTTCTCAGCTATTGATGTCAGTCAGACACATGTGCAGAAGGCAGTAAATGTGAGAAACAATGAAGGAAAAAGATGATACTAAATTTCCCATAACATATCCCTTGCAAAGGCTCTTTTGTGATTAGTTGGCTGAAAACCAAAGGTAAGTTGAATTAAGAACTTGGGTCTATCTATTCATAGAAATGTTACCTTGATTTTCCTAAAGATCTTTTCACAGGTTTTGGGGAAAACCCCTCAGACTCAGAATCAGTCTTGTTCTGTTTCTAAGAGAGTAAATTCTATTTGTCAAACAGGGATAGCTATGTAGGTAGGAAGACAGCAAAAGGGAAAATAAAGTAAAATAAAATGAACCACAGATTACTAACCAGGAATTTGCACTGCAGTCCACTCACTTGCCTGCAACTAACTGGTCACTACATAGTGACCATAAGAAAGTCAATTAACTTCTTTTTCTGTAACAACTATAAGAAAAGCTTATTGGCAATTATGAACTAGGTATTAAACTAATTGCTTTATCTACATTATCGCATTGGACCCTCAGAGCAATCCTGTGCAGTAGATACGCTGATCCAGTTTTACAAATGAAGAGACTGAGCCTCAGAGAGATTCAATGGCTTGTTCAAGTCACAGAGCCAGTGACTAGTGGCGCTGCTATTTTATTTTGTTTGTTTTTTTATCTGTAAACAGGGGCACCATATATCTTTAAATACTAGTACAGTGGGGCCTTGACTTACGAGTTTAATTCGTTCCATGACGGAGCTCGTAACTCAAATTACTCGGATGTCAAATCAATTGTGAACGAGTGAGGCACGTGATGCTGGGCTGATGTTGTGGCGTTCACTGTGAGTTCGCTGCGCCAACTAGCGGTGGGGTATCTGAAGCTGGCTCGTAACCCGAATTTTAGCTCGCAACTCAAAGCAAAAAATCGGCGGAGAGACGGATCATATCCCGAAAAACTCATTAGTCGGGACACTCGTAAGTCAAGGCCCCACGGTATATGCTGCGCTAAAATTGGAAAAGGAGCTGGAAGAGATGAATTTGGGAAGGGGCGAAAGGAGATAAAGTAGATGATTAGGGGTGGGAAGGAAGCTTTTAGGGAACAGGAAATAGATGAAATGGGAAAGGTAAAGAGGGGAGATTAAGATAGAAGGATATAATTAGTAGGGAACCATCTAGAAAGAACTACATGGGGTGGAAGAGAATGAGGTTTTATGTCCATTTGTGAGTCATTCTTGGTTTCTTCTCACCTTTATTCTCTGCATCTAATTAGTCACCAAACCCTAAATTTCTTTTGCACGTTTTCTCATCATCATTCACATTGCCATTGCCTTTCCATTGGCCCTCATCACTTACCTTGCCCATAACAACCATCTATTTCCAGGTACATCTCCCGCATTATCACCAAAGGGATTCTAGCATGGCTCCTGTGTCTCTTTTCTGCCTTTATTTCCTAATACTTAATAAATACTCAATGTAATGGTCCCTACAATGGCTCATAATCCCTCACTCCTTTATTCCTTTGAACAGGCTATCCTTTTTCCTTTGCCTGTGGAGAAAACCCCTACTTAGCCTTCAAGCCTCACCTAGAAGATTCTATCCAGACTAGTTGGCTCTGCTCCTCCTGGTTTTCTCCTTTTAAACCGATAGAGCAAAGAGTCACAAGGTGGCAGCATAACGCCAGGGAATTAACTTCTTATGATGCCTGTGACTTCAGTTTTAAATGATAACCTAGCATTGATTTTGGATTGAGGAATTATAGCCCATTTGGTCTAGTGGTTGTCAGACACTGTTTCATGAAAACCTGGGTTATTTCTTGTAACTCTAGCCCCTATTTCAACCAGAAAAGCTCTGAGTTTTATTTCACAGCCAGGTCGACCAATGTAGTCTATTCCTTTCATTTGACAAATAGGACTTGGAGCCGAGAGATGGCTTGACTAAGGTAGTGGGGCTGATTATGGAGATGCAACTCTAGAGCCCAGGTTTATTATTTCCAGTTTTGCAGGGCTGCATGTTTTCCAAGGCCATCACAGATCCAGATCCAAGGGGGTACCCCAAGCATTCTGTTAGAAACTGGGGAAGAGCTTGAAACAGAGAACATTTTGTTACTTTGCAACAATTTTCTTGGCAATAAAATAATACAGAACATAATATGGTATATTTTCATGCTCTGTATCCATCTAAAATAAGTTCTCTAAAGTTAAGGTCTGTTTATTTTTCCTATGTATCTTCTATTTCACCTAGAATGAATGCCTGTATTTACACTTATTTGCCTTCACCAAACATTTATTGAGGGTCTGACAAGTGCTGGGCACAGCGGTTTTTAGCACAAATGAGGTTTGGTCTTCACCCTTGAAAGAAGTCCACTAGGAGGTCTGGTGGGAGAGATAGACATATTAGTAGATAATTTATTATGTAATGTGGTAAGTACAGTGAGCCGTGGGAATAAAAAGCAGGAAGCAGTGAGCTTGCGTCTGAAATTGCCGGCTTATATTAGAGCACTTTTTGGTTTTCTTATGTTAAGCCCTCAGAAGGTACTCATTCCTATCGTTGACAACCAAAGTTGTCTGTCAGAAGGTAAATGTTATAAAGTAGAGCAAAAATGTTATAAGGTAGAGCAAAAATGGAGAAGGAAGGAATTTCTGAAGTGGGGAGTATGCTCTTAATTTTTATCTTATGTATGAATGATGCCACCCAACTACTCAGTTCTCTTTGTTTGCCCTGTACTTCAGATTACTTTCTATGAAGACAAAAAATTTCAAGGCCGCCACTATGACTGTGATTGCGACTGTGCAGATTTCCACATGTACCTGAATCGCTGCAACTCCATTAGAGTGGAAGGAGGCACCTGGGCTGTGTATGAAAGGCCCAACTTTGCTGGGTACATGTACATCTTACCTCGGGGCGAGTACCCTGAATACCAGCATTGGATGGGCCTCAACGATCGCCTGGGCTCCTGCAGGGCTGTTCATCTGGTGAGCCTGGTGGCACTCTCGCTGTCTCCACGCTTTTTTGTTTTACGTGAAAGTTTTTTTGAGGTTTTTCTACTTCTTAATGGGAAGCTGTCTTTTTTGGCTGTGGAGGCTTAAATAAAATCTTAGCTCAGTTCATCATAAGACTGAATACACTAATTATTTCCATAGCACTTTTGCTACCTCTTGAGGGTTTTAAGGAATTAAGTTTTTAAGTCAGCTGTTTCAGTGAGTGCACAGTGGGGATGGGAGTTTGGATCATCTAGATTTCAAGATGGTGGGTTCTGAACCATCCTGTTCTCTGAGTCTGTGACCTGCTGGTGATTTCCATGATGGTTACTGTTCATTTCCTTCTGTTTTTTTAGTCTAGTGGAGGCCAGTATAAGATTCAGATCTTTGAGAAAGGGGATTTTAATGGTCAGATGTATGAAACCACTGAAGACTGTCCTTCCATCATGGAGCAGTTTCACATGCGAGAGGTCTACTCCTGTAAGGTGCTGGAGGGTGCCTGGATTTTCTACGAGCTACCCAACTATCGCGGCAGGCAGTACCTTCTGGACAAGAAGGAGTACCGGAAGCCCATCGAATGGGGTGCAGCTTCCCCAGCTGTCCAGTCTTTCCGCCGCGTTGTAGAGTAATGACATGGATGGGCCATAAGCTTCTTCCTAGGGGCCAAACACTGCTGGCCTTGTCATCAAATAGGCATCATAAATAAAACAATTGGCATGCACTCCACTGTTGACTGTTGCCTCTCCTTAAACACTCTTAGGGATCAAATAGTATCCACCAGAGTGGGCAGTTACACAAAGCAACTAACTCAAAATGGGACTGCATGAAAAAGACTAGAAAATCGTAGTGCCACATGTTGCTAATTTTGTGTTAATTCACAGGTACAATAATAATAGCTGCCATTCATTGAGTGCTTTTATTATGCCATTTTCTCTTCACAACAATCCTGAAAAAGAGGTGGTTCATCTGCATCTTATGAATAAGGAACCGGGAATTTAGAGAAATTAAAAACTTGTCCAAGTTCACCAGCTTGTGAATGATGGGACCAGGATACTTAGGTTTCCAAAGCCCTGTTCTTTTCTCTTTATTTTTAACTCATTCAACACATATTGGCTGGGGATCTGTGTACATCATGTAAATACACAACCCTGGGATAGTGTACCTATCAAACAGGGCTATTACTTGAAAATAGTAGTGCCATAAGTCTCTTGAAGTCCTTTACGATCCAGAGATTCCTGTGCCAGTTACCTCTCAACCCTCAGTTCAGTTTATCTGTAAAAAGAAAGGACATGTGAAACAATTTATGCCTGCTTCAAAATAGTTGGGATGGAGTTTTATTGAATTCTTACTTTGAGATTTTACTAGTATTTATTTAGTCTTGAAGGAACTGGGGCATTACTAGTAATGTTTAGTGAATATCCCACTGAACTGGGATACTCTGGATGCACCTGTCTTTAGAGAGATGGCAAAGCTCGTGTCTCCTAGGAGTTTTTCCTGCAAAAGACGAGTAGAACAGCCGAGGAGCCTCCCTTTGTATTCATTTCAGCCTGTACTCTAGTGTGCAGTGCATGCTCTCCCCTGAATGCTTTTATTCATTTTGTTAACTTCAGCCCTGCCTCCTGTCATTTTTTTCATTTTGAGTGAAGGACTTTGAGAAATTTAAGTGAAAGTGAGCGAGAAAGACATGATACACTGAGGAGGAATGGGATGCTACTTACTGAGTTGCAGAGCTCTGGACCTTGTCACCCTACCATGAAGTTAACTTTCCTTATCTCCACAATGAGGGAGGTGAGCCAAATGCTCACTCAAGTCCCATCGAACATAAACATTCTAATTCTCTGAAGGCCAGGACAATGCTGAAAGATTAGCTGATGTCTAAAGACCACTAACATTTATTTTTAGAGGCACAATTTCTGGGAATGACCTTGGAGATCCTGCCTCTCCTTTTCTGCAGAGGATGCTGAGGGGGGTAACAGTCAGTGACTGCCAGTCTTTCCTCTCAGACCAACTGCTGCCGTGTTCCAGTCCTTGGTGAGTTGGTCACAGTCTGTTCACAACAAGCAGAAAAGCAGTTCTGGCAGCAGGATAGGAAAACAGGCATCCGGATGACTAACCATGGTCTCAGAGAAGTAGAAGATGGCTTTTGACAGATAAAACAATTATTTGGGGATGTTTTATGCCTCTTGGTTCATACCCTGGTCCAGAAAGAGATTGCCACCATTCTCCCCAGCCATGGACACATTAATCAACTTGCATGTAAAAGGAATTTTACTAGCAATCAACATTACAGTAAAAATCACTGTATGTCCTTATCTATCAATCAGCCCCAGTTCTGATAGAACATTCTGCCATTAGAGCCAAAAGCACCTGTCATGGACACCCATGGGTTGTTATAAGTATTACCTCTCTCTGCTTTTTATTGTTTTGCTGCTCTAAAATGGGGGAGGAGGTGTGTCAAGAAAATAGGGCAATGGCTTACGTAGACCATTGTAGTCCTGTTTCCATTGTAGTCCTGTTTCCATTGTAGTCCTGTTTCCATTCTACGCATTCCTCAGACATAAGTCGTTGAATATTTCCCAAACATAGAGCCCACTTCCTCAAAATGTAACATCAGGGGCTCTTCTTTAAAGCCTTTATAGTAGTGGAATCTAAAAACAAAACAAATAAAACAAACCCATAGATACAGAGAACAGCTGATGGTTGCCAAAGGGGAGGAGAAGGGGGGTTTGGGAGGGAGTATAGGGGAGTTAAATGTGACCAGTTATTTATTCCTTTATTCAAGGAAAATAAAATTTAAAAATGAAGCCTCCAGGTAGGGTTGCCAGATTAAGTAGTGGACAGAATTAGTGAATCCCAAGTCATATAAGTCAGATATAAACATAGTATAAGTATATCCCAAGTTTTGGATGGAATATACTTACACTAAAACATTATTTGTCATTTGTCTGAAATATAAATTTAACTGCATTCTGTATTTTTATTTGCTAAATACAGGGGGGCCTTGACTTACGAGTTTAATTCGTTCCGTGATGGAGCTCGTAACTCAAATTACTCGTATGTCAAATCATAAAGTGAACGAGTGAGACACGTGATGCTGGGCTGATGTTGTGGCGTTCACTGTGACGTTCGCTGCGCCAACTAGTGGTGGGGTATCTGAAGCTGGCTCGTAACCCGAATTTTAGCTCGCAACTCAAAGCAAAAATCAGCGGAGAGACGGCTCGTATCTCAAAAAACTCGTTAGTCGGGACACTCGTAAGTCAAGGCCCCACTGTATGGCAATCCTATGCTTAAAGGGCAAAGCAAAGGGCTGACATGGCACTGAAAGGGAGTCAAAGTCTTTCATTGAGTCAGAATCTCCCTGTAAGTTTCAACCTCTATTCTAGTTCTGCTTTTCATTTAATTCTTCATTCTCTTTAGGCAAGCATGTCAAACTCAAAGGCTAACATGGCCAAATAGGGTTTAAGTTGATTTGGGCCGCAGAAAAAACAAAAGCTTCAATTTTTATAGAAACGTAGGTTTATTTCAATAGAGACATGCTGAATACAAAGGGCTGAAATAAATAAGTAATTGTTAATATAATAGAACATTTTAATAAAAATTAACATTCTGTATTAAATATTAACTTACCAGATACTGAATAACTGCACAAATTAATAAGCGTAACGCAAATAAACCTACTTTTCTAGTTCTCCAAAAGTGGAATATTTCCTATTGCGCACACCAAACAAGTCAGTACAAGACTAATGACATGGTGATCAGCTGCTAAAATATTCGCTGCTAGTATTAGTGGAGAGAAATGGTGCATCTGTGAGTAAGGTGCATAAGGGAAATGAATGCAACATGATTATGGAATAAGTCATTAGTAAACGTTGCAGTTCATTATTAATAGTTATGTATGACAGGATATTATAAAAATTTAAGTTAAGAAATTTTTATTAAAATGTTTCTTACATACCGTTATATTGGCTGGGCCACAAAAATATTTGTTATGGGCCGTATGCAGACCAGGAGTTTGACATGCTTGCCTTTAGGTATTTAAAGATGCCTCCTGTTCACCTCCACACTCTCATTTCCAAGTGGAACAACTCCTGTTCCTTCCACTGTTTCTCTCTTGATGTGTTGGCTCCCAGATTCCTCTCCATCCTGTGCTGACTGCAGATGATCTTTCCCACTGTTTCAGCTAAAGTCTGACCAGAGCAGAGGATCTGGGGGATTGGGTTCAGTTCTTCCACCTTCCTTTCTTAGATATATACTGCTTTTTCCTTTTTTAAAAAATTAAATTTATTGGGGTGACATTGGTCAATAAAATTACATAGGTTTCAGAGGTATAATTCTATAGTATATACTGTTCTGGACTAAGCTCAGTTCTCCTTGAACCTTCTCACCAGCCCTGATAGTGGGCCTGGTCACCCCTTCCCAGGAACTGGCATTCCAGTTCAAGGAGAAAGTTCCCATCCCCTCTGGAAAGTTAGAGAGAAATGGATTCAAATCCTACCACTTCCACATGTTAGCTCTAAGTCACACAATCTAATATGTATAACCTTGATTTCCTTATCTGTAAAACAAAGACAACACTTGCTCTGTAGGCATTAAAGTAATGTATGAAAAACACATAAATATATGGTCAGTTCTTATTATTTGCAGTAGTTATATTCTTTTTTTAAAATATATTCTTATTGAGAACCAAGATGGCGGCATAAGGTATACACCTGTACGTGCTGCCTCTCACAACCACACCAAAACTACAACTAAAAGACAAAATGGCTATCATCCAGAACCATGGGAAAGCTGGCTGAGTGGAAGTTCTACAACTAGAAGGAAAGAAAAAAGCGCATTGAGACTGGGAAGGAGGTGCAGAGGTGCGGAAGAGCAGAGGTATGGAGGTGCGCAAAACAGGCTGGCAACTAGGTGCGCTGTTTTTTTCAATTAGAAGGGAGATACAACCTCCCGACTGCTCTGAACTCCAGTTTCTGGTGAGACTGCGGACCCAGATTCCTACCGGGAGAAACTGGACTCTCTAGCATCGGGTCTGAAAGCGAGGGTGGCTTTCTCACAGAGGTGCTCGCAGGGATCATTGTTACTGCATGGGGGCGCGGGACGCGGAGACTCATAGACACGGAGATGGTTGACTGGCAGCCATCACTGTTTGTTCTGCCCTGGTGATTCCCTGAGACCCTGCCCCACCCAATTTACAACCCCACCTAAGCTGTGGGCAGCAACTTTTGCATATGAATGGCCTGTCCTTTTGCAGCCTAACCTAAAAAACTACATCTGGGTCAGAGAGCTCCAAAACTTCCAAACCCTAAACAAAGAGGAGAAATCTGCAGATCTTGTTGTAGCTCCTGCTGGGTGGCCTCAGGCAGTGACTTTGCACCTCCTTGGAGATCCAGGAGCCAATGTACCCAGTGGTCAGATACCAGATTTCAACTCCTCACATCCATAAGTGACACACTCAAGAGGCAGACTCAGTGAGCACCAAAGCCCCATTGAAGCAAGTCCTGCCCCATAAGGGTGTCTCCAGCACAGCAGTTCTTCCACTATAGACACAGCTGGTCCTCATAGCCAATTGGCCTGGAGGTCAATTTCTCCCAGTGATACCAACAGCAATCAAGACTTAACTACAACAAGACTGTGCACCCAGCCCACAAAGGGGTGCACCAAGAGTGTCCACCTCAGGTGATTGGGGAGGCTGAGACACTGGGCCCTATAGGACACCTACCAC